GAAATGAAGGAATAGTGGATTTTAGAAATGGTTAAGAAAGAAAAAAGGATAGTAAATGCAATTAATGGTTTTTTAAACAAAACATCTAAGGCATGTATTGCTTGCGTTGCCTATACTGACCTTTCACCACTGGTGTATATATATATATATATATATATATATATATATGGAGAGAGAGAGAGAGAGAGAGAGAGATAGAGAGAGATATAGATAGATAGAGAGATAGATAGAGAGATAGATAGATAGACAGACAGACAGTGGGAGAGAGACATAATTGAGTATTTGTGCAGCAATACCTGTTTTATACATCTTTCCTTAAAAATGGCTGACAAAGTACTGCGTTTATGATTTTTATTTAATATATTTTGTGTTATAATTTATTTTTCTTTTCTTGGCATATATATATGCAGAAATTGTTCAAATGTTCTGCGTAACCGAACGTCTAGTTTATAGGAATGTTTTTATTTTCCAAAAAATCGTCAGCACATTATTATCGTGTTCATTGTTCGTATTTTGGAGTGTTTTTTTTTTTACATTTTAATTAATAATGCTTCCTTTATTTCTGGCATTTTTGTAGATGTGGATGATGCTAAAATATTTGTATTGTCCACGTCTATGTTCTGGATGAAATTTGTTAAGTCTCTGTGTGTCATAGAGATATGATGTGAACCATCGTTAAGCATGTGGTTGTATATCCAATATAATTATTCAAGAATTTCGTTTGATAAAGAATATATTTACTTAAGAGACATGTGAATTCATGCAGAATATTGATTCTCTGTAATTTGGAGATTACGATTGAGTCATTGTTGTTGACGATGAAGTTAGCATTTTTAATTTTGCTTACTAGAAAATTAATTATTTTTTTAATTATTTTTGTGGAATGGTGTTGTATATTCTTTTATGTTTCCAAACAAAGATTCATCCAGCACATAGTTACCAGGAAAATGTTAGTGTAATTATTTTTAATTGCATGTTCAGTTTGGTTATTGTTTACCTTAAAAAGAACAGTTTTAATTTCGTGATCTATGAGCTAATTTGAAAAAAGACCCTTATTAACTAACTGTTTAACGTCTTTAAGTTCTTTAAAGAAAAGTAGACGAGAGGATGTATTCAAATGCACTCACATGATAATTTTTTATAACGCCTACTTTATGTTTAAGTGGATATTGACTAGTCAAATTAAGGTAGCAAGAGTTTCTATCTCTGGGTTTAGATACATAAAAAAAACATACATTCATTTAAAAGTAAAAGAAATCCTCATTGAAAATGGCTAAAAGTAGAACCGAAATCGCTCTGACATACAGAACATTCGAACAATTTCCACATAATTTATGTCCAGAATAGAAAAAAATTCAGAACACAAAAAATAGATAAACAATTAACCGCTGTATCTTGTCAATCATTTTAACGAAACTCACCACTTATTTTTATACTAATGTATGCAATTATATATATATATATATATATATATATATATATATATATATATATATATATATATATATATATATATATATATATGTATAAAGCTATAATCTCCAAATATTCAAATGTAATGTCAACCTACATCTCCAGTTACCTTGATCTACCCACTATCCTTCTCATCCTTTCTCCTATCACTCATATCTGCTCTCGCTCCAAATCTTCCGCAACCCCCTGCATCCTAGTGGCTTCACGCCTTGCTTGGGGCGTAATGCTTAATATATATATATATATATGAGTGTGCGCGTTTGTGTGTACTGTATAAAAAACAGGCAAAAAGGGAGGGATATTACGTGATATCTATTATCGTATCAATCGATTTGTATCCAACATCTAATTAACCGCTTATCCATTTTCCAATACCCCCTCCTTACTAAAGAGAATATATAATTACTTCGATAAATACTATTGTGGCAATATCAGCGAGCACGAACATCCCTGTATCTTTTTTTTTTTCAATCATTAATAATAAACGCTTGAAAATTAATAAAAAAAATGCGTATATATCAGTCCACCAGAGAACATTTAACTTGGTCTTCTATGCGTTGAATTACATTGTTCATTTTTAAATTCGTTTAAAGAAATACATTGGAGTTTTCCAGATTGATTAAGAAAAGTGGGAATGTTTACGTAGCTGAAAAATTCAATGTCTATAAGAAAAAATATATTCTGTGTATATTCAAATTTCAATGTATGGAATGCAATTTTCAGTAAAAATGTTCATAAGAATAAATTGAGCTGAAATGAATGTAAGGGTTTGTGCAAAGATTGATTGATTACAGTTTATATTTTAAGAGCAAACCAGAACTCCTACGGAAGTAGGTGGAGACTACGAAAATAATTTGCTTGCACAAAATATACTCTTAAAAGTGTAGAGGAATTCATTAAAATTTATAATTATAATATCTCCAGGTTCACATCCTCACTGGTCTTTTGAACAGGAGTAGAGCTTTATCAATGTTTCTGGTTTAGGATTGGGTTAACGTTTACATCTAAAGTCTACTTCTACTCAATA